AGTATCTGAGTTCACAGCAACTATAGGCTCACAACTGTCAGCCACTCCAACACCTGTGGCCCCCGTTGGTACCTGCACACATTAACACATACATGCATACACACACATGATTACAAATAATAAAAAAATAAGTTCTTAAAAAGAAGTAAATATTCCTGTACCCCCTTTCCTATTTCCAGTTTGCTGGTGTCTTTGATGCCCACTCAGATGCACAGAATGTAAAAGAGAGTTATACAGGAGAGAGTAGAAATTGTCATTGTCATTACTAAGTTGTGTCAGGAACAAAGTTAGGTACTCTGTGACATGCAAGGTAAATGTGGAAGTTTGCCATGTTATAAAACCTCTCGTTTGTGGTAATGATATTACTCTGAATACAGAGCCTATGTGATTCCATCACCCTTTGAAAGAAAGGAAGCAGCTACACTGTGCATGAATCTTCAGAAGAAAGACTTAAACCCTCTACTTGGTGTGGCGACCATGTTACATGATCAGCTGTGCACCTTCTGTGTCAGCCAATTGTGTCTCTGTTTTCATTGGGTTAGCATTGTAAAATCGTCTCACTTTAACTTGTAAAAGAACCTTTCTAGAGACACAACCAATCAGCTGCTTCAGCTATTGGATACCATGTCTCTTTCCCAGTTGTCGGTCAGTTTGTTCCAGAAAGCTCCTGTTGCTCAGAGGTAATTGGACATTTAGCACTTTTCTCTAAACTGAAGTTATTTTTCTCTTGCACACTTCATGCCAACACAGTCCTCATTGACACAGGTCTGATTTGGAGTATCCACTCTTCTGATTTATTTTTGAGTCATTTATGTGCTTGCTTATGTGTTTGCTTGGTTTTTGTTTTTTTTGTTGGTGGTGGTGTTGTTGTTGTTGGTGGTGGTGGTTTTGATTTTGGGTTTTGTTTTGTTTCTAAAACAAGATCTTGCCAAGGCTGACCATGAGCTCCTGGTCCTCCTGTGTACCACCACACTGCCCTTGAAGTGCCAACACCTTCCCAGGGCACTGTCTAAGAACTGGTGTGGCCCAGGCTGAGCTACAGTCAAAGGGCTCCTGTGGAACTCTCCTTCCGGGTCAGTACATTTGACTCCAGGCCAGGGATGATCTGTCTGAATCTTAGCATTCCAGTTTCACCCCCCTCACTCCCACCAGAGGCTTCTGCAGCTTTTTACTCGTACAAACAAAAATAAATCTCACTACCGGCCTCTGAACTCCACAGCAGCATGCTTCCCCTGCTCCCTGAGCGTCCCATGGCTGTGAGTGGGGACTTGGCACTCTCCCCATCAACATCACTTTTTCACTCCCTGCGCATCCTGTGTCCTTCTCTCACCGTGCGACCCAGAGATCAGAATGGGACGTGACGGCCGGCACAGGCGCCGTGCACAGCTGCCAGGAATCTGACGGGTAAAATCTGGAAAAGTTGGGAGGGCAAATGCTAAACACACACAGCGCCACTCAGAAAAGGCTGGAAACACAGACACCCATCACATAAGCCTGACTCCTAAGCTCTTCTTGATCTGCCATTCTTTTTATTGGTACTGAACTAATCTTGTGACCCAGGTATTAATTAATCCTCTTACCTGCTAAACCCACTGGCACCCAAAAAAAAGAGACAGCAACTTTGTCTAATCTCCTGAGACTCCATGAGGGCATGTGGGGAACAGGAAGCAGTTGTGTGGTGACTCACTGGGCAGAGCCAGGTTAGGGGAAGTTGTCTGCAGGCGTCCCTGAGACCGGATGAGGGCAGCCCAGCTCTGACCACCACACGCAGCTTGGCCCTGTCCCATTCCCAGGGAACCATCTGCTACCTCTTTGAGAGGCTATAGCCAGTTCACCTTTCTGGCCACAGACCATAGCTCCAGGTACCCAAGGAAATAAAGCTTCCCCAAACCTTACTCTAGGTTTGACATCTATCTTGTCTTCAAACACCAGGCTGTCCCCCAGCCTGCCTTAGCTGTCCGGTTTACCACTAGCATACAGGTGGAATGAACCTGGTGTTAAGAACCCATTGTTCAGCCAAGGCAAAAAACCACAGTCGTCAGCCTTTTTTTTTTTTTTTTTGGTTTTTTGAGACAGGGTTTCTCTGTGTAGCCCTGGCTGTCCTGGAACTCACTCTGTAGACCAGGCTGGCCTCAAACTCAGAAATCCACCTGCCTCTGCCTCCCAAGTGCTGGGATTAAAGGCGTGTGCCACCACTGCCCAGTAGTCATCAGCTTTCTTAATGGAAGTCTAACCAGGACTGCATGTCATTTCTCTAAGTAGGAAAACAGATGTGGGAGGAAGAGAGTTGATGCTTCCTTAATTAAGACTAGGGCTCCTGTCTCCTATCATTCACCATCCAGGTGGCAGAACTTGTTATGTCTTTTCTCCTACAAAAACAGAGATTTGGAACCAGGGGCTTTGGGAACAGCATTCTGGTAGAGTTGTATGGGACAGAAGCCTGGTTGGGGATGGGGTCGGGGGGAGGGTAGCTGCTTCTTGGCATAAAGGGCAGCAGAGTTATTTGCTGAACCTGAGCAGGACCTTCTCCACACCAAGATTAGTAGACTGTGTGTTACTATCCTTTTGGCAGTTCTCTGGGAAGCGACAGTGACCCAAAAACCCTGGGAAGGTGGCTGACAACTTTCCCCTTGTGAGGTGAGATCAGTTGGAGTGTGTCAGCAGACCGGGCCTCTCAGCCACATTTCTCATGCTGCCACTGTCCCATGGCCTGTGTCTTCACCAACTGTGGTGGCAGTGGCAGCAACAACTTACTCATAGGGAAAGGTCTCTGGTAGGTCACCGAGAAGCCACCCCCATCCTTTGAAGTCATGCCCTTTCAGTTTTACTGTCACCCTAGTGAAGCCTAAGCAGCCTTCTTGCTAACTGTTGGTGGCCAGGCCCAGCACCGTGGGCCCCATCTCAGTTGGCACGCACATACACTTCCTCTGTGCTGTTTCTGGGTCTGTGTCCTTGTGGTTGCTATGTTTCAGAAGACCATAAGAGGGAGTGAGGGGACTGAGACTGACCCACCTGCTTTTCTGGATTCCCATTGGTCCTGACTAACTCCCTACATAGAGTCTGCCAGAGCAGATAAATTCAGCCAGTCAGTTTGCTTTCTGGCTATGATCCCCAGAAGAAATAGCACAATAATAAATATACTCTGTAGAGATAGCTATACCCTAAGCCCGTCCCATCAGGTTCATTGCCACCCATGTAAGACTGTTAGACTAGAAGACACTGGGTGTTGTAGATGTTCACAGAGTTCCACAGAAATGGAAAAGCCTGGAGCACAGATCGTCCCTGACTTGTGGGTGGGCTTCTGGGGCTGACAGTGGCTAGTACACGGACCTGCTGGTGGTGATGGGAGTGACGGTTGAATAGCATGAGGTAGAGCGCTTTGAATTTTCATAATGTCATCTCAGTGTGTACCGGGATACAGCACAATTTTCTCTACTGTCCTAAAGGACGTCCTTGAAGAGCCTAAGACAGAAAGCCCTGGTGCCAATTTAAAGGGAAGATAAAGACAGTGATGGTGTTATTTGTTCAGGGTTATTGTGGTAAAGAGTTAAAAGTAGAGCAAAAATGCTGGGGGTGGTGTGCCTTTAATCTCAGCAGAAGGTAGAGGCAAGCCAATCTATGAGTTCAAGGCCAGCCTTGTGTACATATCGAATTCCAGGACAGCCAGAACTATAGAGAGAGACCCTGAAGTCTCTCCTGTGTTTTAAAAAGACCTACATTTAGGAAACACTGTGCAAAGCAAGGACAGGTGGTATAGTTATGATTTGATTGTTTTTCTCTATGGGCTGGGTCGTAGCTTCTTCTTTATGGACTTCTGCTGCAGGAAATGATAAGTAGCATCCTGCTAATACCCAGTTTTTAAAAATGTTTTACATTGTGTGTGTGCACATGTATATTTGTAGGAGTCAAATCTTGTCAATTCTTTTTTTTTTTTTTTTAAACACAGAATCTCACTATGTAGTTCTGGCTGGTCTAGAACTCACAGAGATGAGTGCTTCCTCTTTCTGAGTGTTGGAATTAAAGTTGTGTGCTACCACACAGGACCACGTGTATATTGTTTTAAAATTCAGATTTTGCCAGGCAGTAGTGCCGCAAGCCTTTAATCCCAGCATTGGGAGGCAGAGGCAGGCGGATTTCTGAGTTCAAGGCCAGCCTGGTCTACAGAGCGAGTTCCAGGACAGCCAGGGCTACACAGAGAAACCCTGTCTCAGAAAACCAAAAAAAAAAAAAAATCAGATTTTATGTTTAATTTCATTCATTAAGGCTTGAAGTAGGTGGATGGTTGAAATGCACAGTGAAGTGAGTTAGACTCACAGATTCGGGGTTGCGGGTAGAGTGCGAACATCCTGAAGCCCTGGATTTGATACCCACAATTGCATAATATAAGTATGAGTTTAGGCCAGCTGCATGAGACCCTGTCTCATTTTAAAAAGGGACAGGGAGGGAAGAGAAGGGAAGGAGGGAAGGAGGGGAGAAGGAGAAGAAGGAAGGAAGGTAAGAAGGAAGGAGGGAGGGAGGGAAGGAGGGAAGGAAGGAAGGAAGGAAGGAAGGAAGGAAGGAAGGAAGGAAGGAAGGAAGGAAGGAAGGATTCTGATCTGAGTGTTCGTGTTTGAACTGAGAACTGCCCTGTGTGTGCAGTCTGTATAGATGCCTGTGTAATATGTGACTCCTTTCCTACCTTAGTTACTTGCTCCCTTCTTAACTTCTTGGTCTTAAGTCTTATGATTCTCTCAGAAACTTGTTTTTAATATCATCAGTGTCCTTTCTCAGTGACAACTAAAGTTTAGTGAGACTTCAGGCCTGGGCCATTTGGTCTGTGTTGATTTTGATTGTACTGCTTAGCTCAGCCTGAAGGTCTGTCCCTCAGGCCTGAAAGGGCGGCTGTGCCTCTGGAGGGGGAAGAGATGTGTGGGGGCAGGATGCTTACACACTGTTGAGTCAGGCCCCTGGCTCACCCTCCTGCTTACTCTCTTGCTCCCTCATATTCTGTGTCCCTGTAGGCTGTTTTGGAAGACCAGAGTCAGATGAGGCAGATGGAGCTGGAGATCAGACCCTTGTTCCTCGTACCAGATACCAACGGCTTCATTGACCACCTGGCCAGTCTGGCTCGGCTGCTGGAGAGCAGGAAGTACATCCTGGTGGTGCCCCTCATCGGTGAGCTGGGCGGGAGGACAGAGCAGCCCTGCACGTGCACAGCAGCCCCCTCTACACATGCCCGGAGCCAGGCAGGCTGACCTGGCTATGTGTGTGTAAGACAGGATTTGCAGAGACTGTGTGGGGCAAGAAAAACTGTTTAATAATCAGAGTAGTTCAAATTATTATGGCTGATCCATGGCTTAAACTGCTTGAGCAAATGGACTCCTGTGTCCCAGCAACCAGCGGCTGCATGAGCCCAGCCCTTGTTTTTTCCTTATAAAGCTTGCAGTAAAACAGCAAAGCTGGTTCCCGTTATTGGTAAACACTCAGCCCTGGCAGATAACGGCAGTGCTGCTGGGTGGTCTGGCAGGGAGGCTGGGAGGATTTTGAAGTGGTTAGATGCCTTTGGTCTGATTGTCTTGTAGCTTTCATGATCATTCTGTTGGTTTGAGGTAACATTCTTCTGGTCAGTGTCTCTCTAAGGCCAGACTGACAGGAACCCTTTAGAGCAAGACCTTTGGCTCATGCCTTTCAATTCCTACCACTTGGGCCATTGGTACTGGTTAGCATCTCGGGGTCCAGCAAGCTTTCTCTAGCTGAGTACTCATGGGAGATGACTGAGTACCCCTAGCTCTTAAGCTTAATGGTAGGTCAGCCTCAGGTTGCGCTTTAGTCTCTGGGTACCTGTCAAGTATAGCTAATGGAGCTACTACAGCTGATGGCTATCCTATGCGGGGAACGAGGTGTGTAAGATGATTGCAAAGACTAGAATCTTTAATGTCCCTCTTCCAGCAGCTGTTTGAAGTAAGTTCGAGAACACTGTTGTCTGAAAAAAGGCACCAGACTGGCAGTCTGCCTGACAGGCCACCTCTGACATCTATGCCAAGATGTTCCATTGGGCCTTCCCTCCCAGTCCCAAGTGTCTTAGTGCCAGATGGGGGTGGAAACAAAGGGCAGGAAACATCCGCCCCTGCAGAGCCTGTAGAACCCTGGGGGGTTGTGGGAAACACGTTAGCACCACCTGAGAATGTTGGCACTGAAGCAGTCCTCCTCCCTCCCTGTCTTCCTTCCCCCTCCCCATGTGGCCTGGACAGAACCTCTTAAACCCAGGCCCTTAGACCTAAGGGGAGGTTTGCTCCACTTCAAAAGAAGAGCAGCTTCTGTCATAAGGCTGAGCACCAGAACCACACAGTGCCCTGAACTTTCCATTGCCCCTCTGAATGGACTGACTTACAGGCTAGATCACTGCACCTTCTTCCTAGGAGGCTTTTAGTTAGGAAAAAGAAAGTAGATTGGCCACTTTTGTTAGATGGTCTGTACTTGGTAAAACTGAGAAAGCCTACTGGTGTCTCAAGGTTGCCTCCCCAGGATGAGAACATTCCTCTTATCCCTTCCTAGGCTAGCCTGTGCTCCTAGTGTGTGCTTAGTCTCTTTGTCCCTGATAATTACAGTGAAAAGTCATATCTGTGGCCCTTGGCCCTAAAGAGCTTAAGTTTGGGAGAGAAATTTAAATTTGGTAGGAAAGGGACAAATACCAGAGGATACATTTCAGAACATAGTCAGTGAACCTAAGGATACTAGCAGTTGACCACTGTACTGCAGCCACACAGGCTAGACACTGACCCTGTGTCAGCTGGGCAGATCCCTGTGTTCAAGGATGTAAGCAGAGCTCCTGTTCACTCATGCTTTCCTTGGCGGACTCCTGCTATATGGCCAGAGCAACAAATGGTTAAGAGGACAGCCTTCCCTGCTTGCATCTTGTGCTCTTTAACCTGCTCTGTGCTCTTTAGGTCTGACCCCAGCATTGAGAAGTCCTGCCTGGTGCAGAAGCACAAACAAGCGTCCCCTTTGAAGCCTGTTTAGTTTGGAAGCAGGAAAGCAGATTTGGGGATAGAATACCAGTTTTTCCTGTTTGATGTTCTGTTTGCTGTACCATACACCATACACCACTGCTACACATTATCTGGACCTTTCAGCTTCATAGTGCTGAAAGTGTGGGTGTGTCTGTCTGTCTGTGTGCATGCACATGTCTGTTTGTGTGCATAGTGTGTGTGTGTGTGTGTGTGTGTGTGTGTGTGTGTTCCCATATGGGCCCTTTCCAGAAAATGTTTCTGAATATCCAGACAATGAGTGCCAGGCTCACCATGGAACAGAATGCTCATGCCGACTCCCCAAGCCATGAATCATTGTACTAAGGAGAGGCCTCAGACCCCAAACTCTCCCTAAGCCCCCAAGGAGTGCATATTTCCCACTTGACCTCAGGCTTTTGGCTGGAATTTTGGAAAGAATCTTCACCAGAAAATGAAGCCATGTCCCAGACACATAGACAAGCAGACAGGCGCATGCACACACACACACACACACACACACACACACATAGATTCAAGGAAGTAATGTGTGTGCCAAGGTTATGGTTTTATGAAATACCAGGGCCCTTACAACTCAGTATGGCTGTCCTTCCTTGTGGCTTCTCTGTACTCTGCCAGACCGGGCAGTAGAACCCTGCCTCCTTTTAGACTGCTATGGCTCAGACCCAAGTAGCTAAGGAAGGGCACTCACTCACCTTTTGTTCCTATGTCCCAAAGGTTCCCTTTTCATTTGATCTATACTATACTATAACTAAGGAATGCCTGCCTCAGAAAATCCTGTAAGTTCTCCCTGGGAGGAAAATGGAGCTCAGAGGACAGACAGGAGCTAGGGCTCACCAACAGTCAGTCTTAGGTTCTTTCTTACCCACAAGTGCCTGTCCTACCAGATTCATTGGAAAAACTGTGGAAAGATGGCCTCTGTTGTCTGTGAAGGGGCCTGGCTGAGAAAGGAAGTGGACAGAGAGCAGAGGATGCAGACAGGCATAACTGCTGATTATAAACTCTGTCCCATCAGTGATCAATGAGCTGGATGGCCTCGCCAAAGGGCAGGAGACAGACCACCGGGCTGGGGGCTATGCCCGTGTGGTGCAAGAAAAGGCCCGAAAATCCATTGAGTTCCTCGAACGGAGATTTGAGAGTCGGGACTCCTGCCTACGGGCCTTGACCAGCCGTGGCAATGAACTTGAATCTATCGCCTTCAGAAGTGAGGACATTACTGGACAGCTGGTGAGATCCCCCAGAAAGAAGTCCACTGTTGGGAATGCTCCTGAGCTGGGCAGTGGTGGTGCATACCTTTAATCTCAGAACTCATGGAAGGCAGAGCAGGTGGATCTCTGTGAGCTCCTGGTCTACAGAGCCAGTTCCAGGACAGCCAGGGCTACACAGAGAGAAACCCTGTCTTTGGTGGAGGGGGTGGGGGGTAGGGGGGTTGAGCAGGGAGGAAAGTTGTTCCCAAAAGGTAGGAGTAAAAGAAACCCTTTGAACTTGGGCAGCTGAGGGGTAGCCACCATCAAGGCCCAGAAGGGGAGCATTCCTTGCTCTCTGAATCACTGAAGACAGTTAGACTCAGCCAAGCAGAGCCAGAGCCTGTCTAAACAGGACATAGCCCTGGAAGTACCTCTGCCTCTGCATGGCGCCCCCTCCTGCCCAGTGGTGCTTTTCACACTGTCTTCCTCCAGGGTAACAACGATGACCTGATCCTCTCCTGCTGCCTGCACTACTGCAAAGACAAGGCTAAGGATTACATGCCCACCAGCAAAGGTACAGCTTGGCCTCTCCTTGAGCTGTCCATCCCTCTGCCCTACTTTCTCTGACCCATCCACAGTCCCTAAGAAGAGTCTCTGCTGACTTTGGCCTGAGAAGTTCATACAGGCCTATACAAGCCTAAGACCATCTTGTTCACCTTCCCAGAGGCTAGACCTCCTCTCATAGCTTCCCTGTCCCTAAAGAATGTTAGGTGATCTAGAGCCAACTAGGGATGAGCCTCTCTAGCCCAGGAAGCCCTGCTCTAGGCCATAAGCTTTCTCACTCAGTCTGCATCTATTTCCTTTCTTGGGTGAGTTCCTTCTGACAGCAAGAATGTCTTTATGATTCAGTATAGCCTGTTCAGGCCATGGTCTCCTGTGTCCAGCCCTCTGCAGCCCTGAGGAGTAGAGAACCTCTAGTGGGCACGCTTTGTTTTCCTTTGGCCACATTCACCTCCCTACCCATTTCAGGGTATTTCTTAAACATTAACCCGCATCAGGCCTGCAGTAGAGATTCTCCCCAGCCAAGAACAAGCCTTTCTTCCTGATCTGTATTGCAGTGAGCTGTAGCATTATACAGGCTAACTGGAGCTGGAGGCAGGAGAAAGTTTAAAGACTGAGCTTGTAGCTGAGTTTTAAAATGTTTTGGTGAGCAGAATCCCACTTCTGGGTCACCCTAAAACTCTCAAGTGTCTGACCACCTCAGCCCTGAATGTCCTGTAGAGCCCCACAGGGCCAATGACATGTAGAGACTTTGCTACCAATTCCCAAGACTGTGACATTTCATTTTGTGGAGAGGAATCCTACCCTCCCCTAGATCTGAGTCATGTGCTGAGCTAGTAATATCAGTGGGTCTCTATTAACCTATGTAGCCTCATGATTTTCTTTGTCTGTGTGATTCTCTAGCCTCCTACATCCATGCCCTCAGTCTTGGCTTGCTGGCTCACCCAGGAGCTGTCTTCTCCATGTTTCTTCCATTGCTTAGTACAGCCCTCACTTGTGCTTTTATTTCTTTCTATACCAGGAGCTAGTCAGGAGTCCACCACATGTACTCTCCCTGACAGCCAGACCTAAAATGTTCAACTGACAAATTAGAATCCTGGCTGAGCCAAACAGAGGAGCTTGTGCCCTTCACTAGAGCAGCTTCTAATAGGGAAGTCAGGTTGCAGAGGTCCTGTAGAGAAGTGTGGTTCCGATAATTCTCAGCCACCGAAGTTTGTTCTTAGCCCAGATGCATTTGAACTTGTCCCGCCACCCCCAGAATTGCTCCCAAACAGAACCCCACTGCCATCATGGGGACCGCCCCTATCAAAATTACATCAGCAACGGCTGGTGTAATCAAACCCCATTTGTCAGTGTGAATTCTTAGCAGATTAACTTGTCAGATTCACAGAGTAACCGTCACCAAATGTTTATGTGTAAACGATGTTGAATTTTAAAATCATGTGGATTATGGCGGATGGGGCCTGACAAGATGACAGTCTCTGGTTTCTAACAAAGTGAAGTTACCAATGTCAAAACAGAGGATGTTTATTGTTAAAAATGTCTCAAAGTATCCACAGAAACCCCTGCAGACCCCTGCCAGCAATGCCGGCCCTTTGTTGGCTGACCTAAAGCCTAGGACTCTTCTGGTCTGAGGCCCAGGGCAGGAATGGTGGAGTTGCAGACAGACCCAAACAACAGCTGGGAGCCCCATGTAGCACCCCACAGCACTACCCCACCACACACTCACATTCCAGGCCCAGGCAACAGAAGGGTCTTAGACCTCCCTTAATCATGAGCCATGTTCTTCACCCTCTATACACAGCCCTGTCCATCCTCTTCTCCCTTTCCTCACTACCGTCAGCCCCTGAGCCTCTCCCTCTTCATCCCCAAATTCCTCCCTAGGCTGAAAGCCAATTCTTAGCCTCCCTGCCTGGAGCTGGCAAGCCCAGCAGTACTCAGGTCAGACATGGATGTCTGCAATCCCCCAGCCCGCCAACCCTAGCAGTCCCCAAACACCACAGGACATTTCCTGTGCCTTTGCTTTCTGCCAGACCTCCACTAGGAAATGCCAGGGCAAGGCTGAGGGGTAGACCTGCCACCCAAGCAGGCATGCCCTGGGCCTGGAGTGTCACTTGAGTGATTGTTGGGCCCCATTTTAAGTTCTCTCCTGTACGTTAGTCAGAGACAGGAAAAGTTTGCTGTAAAAATTATCTAAAAAGATGAAGGCTATCTGTACTGGTACAGAAAAATGTTTTTAAGTATATAAAATATGAGTAAAGAAAGTATGATCTCAGTATTCCAGGAGGAATCTAGCATATGTGCATGAGTGTATTTACAAAAGTGCGCAAGGAAATCAGGACGGCAGAGAGCTACATGGAGCATGAGACAGCTAGGAGAACAATCCTCTCTGCTACTCTTTACCCTGTGGACTGATAGGTGTTCACAGATCACTTTTTAAATAGATCCTTTGGCCATAGCCACTAGGCCCCTTTAGCCTCTCCTGAGAACACCCCATAGCTAACCCCTTTCCCCACATTTGTAAGCTCTGTTCTTACTTTCTAGTCACCTTTTTTTTTTTAACCTTTGGATACATAAAGCATCCAGGGGTGTAGTTGGGAGTCTGCTTCCTATTAGTTCTGAGTCCTTGGAAGACAGGTCTGTGGATGCCAACAGGTTGAATACTCTCAGGCAGTAGGCACAAGAGTCCCGTGTGAGGAGTTCATAGCCCCAGAACTGCTCCTACCTAGGTGGACCCTCTAAGCATCAGGGGAGTGGTACTCTGAGTCTGGAAAGAACTTGCCCCTCCAGGACCACATTCTCCCCAAGACTCTTCTATCCTCAGTAGAGCCCATTTGATTTCTGTGCCAACAGAGGAGCCAATCCGCCTGCTACGGGAAGTGGTGTTGCTGACGGATGATCGGAACCTTCGAGTAAAGGCACTGACAAGAAATGTGCCTGTGAGGGACATCCCAGCCTTCCTTACGTGGGCCCAGGTGGGCTGAGGGGGCCACACTGGGGCCCACCCCCATGGAACCATTCCTGAGAGGCCACCAGACGCCCAGTATAACACGGAAGATGTCCACGTGCCTGAGCTACCAATCCACCCAGACAATAAACCATCCTCTTCCAACCTCACGCCGTGGCCGTGCTGTGGGGGAGCCGCTCCTCACAGAGCCCCTCCCAAGGGTCAGGCGGAAGCTGCTGGGACCCTCCTGGGCTGCCAAGATTTAGCAGGGAGGTGACTGGCTACAATGACAACAGGTGGACAAGCCAAATAGGCCACCAAGCTCCCACCCTTTCTCCCTCCTGTCTGGTTCCAGGGCTGGAGGGAGGCCTCCTCACCCTGAGGACTCTGTAGTGGCAAGGGGCAGAGGTTCTAGAGTTTCCATCAGATGCAAGGGAACAAATAGACCCCTCAGTCTGCACAGTCTCTGTCCTGAATGTCTGAGAGGCTTTGGCTGTCAGGGAAGAGTGCCTAGGTATCTCCATCTCCCTGAGGCCTAGATGCCCTATGGACCCACACTGAGTTCTGTCTGTAACAGCAACAGCAGCCCTAGCCCTTCAACACACGCACGCACGCACAAACACACAGCACATGTGCACACGTGCACATGTCTCTCTTCCTGTCCACATCTTGCACTTTGCCCTTGTTTTCCTTTTGGGCAGTCATGGGCCTAGAGGGAAGGGACATCTGGTCTTGGGCCCATGCTTCCTGAGTGGCCTTCCACCAGCACACGCTCCCATCCTTGGCCTTCCTTTCACTGTAGTACCCTCTTGGGGAAATTTCCTCAGACTCTTCCTGTTCCTTCTTTGCCTGTCTTCCTTTTCTAGTTGGCCCCTTTCATCACCCCAAAGCCCCTAAACTTCCTCACCTCAGTTCCTTGTGGGGCTTCTCATTCTGAATCTTACCTCTCCCACCTGTGACAGGAACCAAGTAAAGCTCTCCCAGCTGTCCTTCCTTCCCAACCCCTCACACCTCTGAGAAACCTCCAAGCTGGTAGAGCCGAACCCAAAGGTAGAGGTGCCCAGGGTGGTGAGCCTGTTTCTGGCTTTGTCACTATTCTTCTCTACCCAGAAGAGGGGACATGCGAGCCTTTGAGGGTTTTGGTTCTTTTCGGTTTTTTTGTTTGTTTGTTTGTTTTTGTTGTTCTGCCTCTTTGTTCAGGACCTCACTTGGAGGCTACCTACCAGGAAAGAATTCCTTCAGTCTAGCACAGTGGTAAAGGAGGATTGAGAGAACAGTCTCAGTCGAAGCAGGGTGAATCTCGGTAGAATCACACAACCCACCTTAGGAGGAGCAGTGCTTCACCACCGGTGCTCTGCCCTTTTCAGGCTCAGGAGAGGGCGGTGCAGGAGGGCCCAGCCAGGACAGTGCCCAGGGCTCAGAGCTCAGAAGACAGGCTCTCTTGATTGTAAGGCCCAGGCTGCTTCCTTTGAGATCCACTGGCTGTGAAGACCATTGGCTGGGGTGGGAGGGAAACGGGAAGAACACCTTTCTTCTTTTTGTCCCATTTGGAACCCTGGTTTTGTTTCCTTAATAAATTTTTAGTTATGAAATAGTTGACCTCCTGCTGGTCTATTTTTTGGAATTGGGACGGGGAGGCCGGTTTGGGCCTGTACACCTGTGTTAGGGCCTCCCACTCACCCTGGTGCAGGGGCAGAAGAGAGCCACAGAATTAGGGACCTTGGTTACTGCTTTATTGCTGTTTGGTTGAGTATAGAAAATGGAAGCGGCTCTGGAAGAGCCTGTGTACAGAGTACAGAATATACAAAGGGACGGGACGGGAACCAAGGAAGGAGACTCCTCTCCAGCCCAGCTAAAGTTGGGCTCAGGATAGGGGCCACCTGGGGCGCATGCAATAAATATGGTCCGTGGGGAGGGGGGGCCAGGAAGAGGAGGAGGACACCTCGGAAGTGGAGACAGATGGGCCAGAGCTGTCATCCCTGGCGCCAGAGCTGCCCACCCTGGTGGTGAGGGAGGGAAGGGTTGGCCCTGGGGCTAGTGCCACTTGTGCAAAATGAGGAACTTCACATTATCAGTCCCGGGCTGGGCAGGAGTGGGGGACGGGGAGGCCCTCCGGCTGGCTCAGTCCCCTCCCCTCTCCCCAACTGTGCCCAATGCTCCGACCCCAGCAGGGAGATTCACAGTGAGAATGGGTGTGGTCGCAAGGGCCGGAGGTAGGGCTGGGAGCGTCCGAATAATGGCACCCTTCCCCCCAAGAGCAGCACGGAGCCGGGGGAGGGGGCCAACGAACCACAGGGAGAGGCAGGGTTCTCCTTTGGTCAAAGCTGATATCAAAAATATAAATCTCCCTTCCCCTATCCCACCCCCGTCCCGGGGTTTTCCCCCACTGACTCCCCCGGGCTAAGGCACAAAACAGGCCAGGTGAGGCGTAGAAAGGTGGGGCCACCACTGCGGCGCTGCCGCTGCTACCAGTTGTCCCCGGGCTGTCAGGCAGCGCCGGGCGCACCTAGGAGGGGCGCTCTAGGTGGGAGAGAAACGGTCGATGGTCCGGCTGTCCGGTCCTGCGGCCAGGTGCGCGCCCTGGCTCAGCACCTCTGCCGCCTTATCCGGGCTGAGTCCTAGCTCAGCAGTGAATTTGGCCAGCGGGTAGAGGCTCTCGAGCGCCACCTTGGGGTCGTGCAGGAAGTGCGTGGTCTGCGCCAGCAGCTCGGCAGCAGCTGCCTTGTCCTGCTGCTTCAGGCTCAGCTGTTCAGCTGTGAGGCGGGCTACAGCAAAGACACCCTCGGGGAAGTCGAGCTTGCTCTTGCCGTCGGGGCCAGGGACGCCAGGTAGTCCCCCCAGGCCAGCCAGCGCCCCGGCCGCGCCGGCCGCACCACCCACAGCGTGCATCTTCATATGACTGATGAGGTTGCGCTGTTGAGCAAACTTGCCACCGCACACCTGGCATTCATAGGGCTTCTCTCCAGAGTGGATGCGCATGTGCTCCGTGAGGCGGTACTGGCGGGTGAAGCGCATGCCGCAAGCGTCACACGCAAAGGGCTTCAAGCCCAAGTGGCTGCGCATGTGGCGTGTCATGGTTCCGCGTTGGGTGAACTTCTTTCCGCAGATGGTACACGGATAGGGCCTTGTCAGCCAGTGTGTCTTCTCGTGCTGCCTCAGCGTGGCCGGGTCCTTGTAGCTCTTGTCGCAGGACGCGCAGCGGTACGGCCGCAGCAGCTCTCCTAGGCCACCCGGCGCCCCAGCGACCTTATCCCCACCGCCACCAAAGGGGGGCCCGAGGCCAGCGGCCCCAGCAGCCACCTCAGCAGCCTCTGCCCTGCCATACAACGCCTCCTCTTCCTCCACGTGAGCCTCCACGTGTGCATTCAGCTGTTCCGAGCTGGGGAAGCCTTTGCCACATGGGATGCACACGTACAGGTTGTCACCAAAGCTCTCAGGCTCACCGTAAGCCAAGTGCGGGCATGGGTAGCCCTCCAGGTGGCCGCCGGGTGGGCTGGGGTCCTCGCTGCTACCAGTCTCCTCGCTGCTGCTCTTATAGTCGTCGCCGTCGGCTCCTGTGCCTGGGCCATCCAGGCTCCCGGGATAGCGTGGCGGGGGTACCAGCCCGAGCGGGGGGCCCCCGGGTGAGGCGGCAGGATCTCCACCCCGCTCCTCGAGGCGCTCACCCGGGGAGCCTCGATCCCGGACCAGTTCATCGCCATAACTACCCAGGCCTGGCTCGTGCTTCATCCAGCGGTAGAGGAGGCTGGAGCCGTCGGGGCGACCGGGGGGCTCGGATCCCGGACTGCCACCGCTTCCTCGAAACGGGTCTGGAGTCGATACGCCCTCCTCCAGCTTTTGGAAGGGCAAAGGCGGCAGCGGCGGCAGGGCGAGCGGTGGCTCCTTGTAGACTGCGGGCCCGGCACCGGGAGGGCTGTCCGGCCGTGGAGGCAGTTCGCGCTCACTCAGCGGTCGCTCGGGGACCGAGGAACCTGGCGGGCTCTTCTTGGACAGATCCAGGCCGCAAAGCGGGGAGCAGCGACGCTCCGGGGCGCAGAGTGAAGCTGTTGGGCCCGGGCCCGAAGCATATAGCTCGGCACAGTGGGTGTTGACGGCTGCCTCGGGGCCCGACGGTGGCTCGGCGGCAGGCGGCGGCGGTGGCCCGGCCGGGGACGAGTAGCAAGCCTGGATGACGGGTGTGGCAGCCCTCAAGCCCCGGCCGGGCCGCCCGTAGGGCGCGTAGCCGCCGCCGCCGCTGCCTCCTCCCCGCAGGTGGCAGTACTTGCCGTGGCGTTTAAGGCGCTTCTTGCACAGAGCCACGAGGTCAGGGATCTGCAGGTAGCTGGCAGCAGCCAGCACAGCGCCCAGGCTCGGCTCGGCGCCCGGGGCCACCGCTGCTGCTGCTGCGGCCTCAACACTGTCCGTCAGGCGGCCGGTGTAGATGAAGTCCAGCACCAGGCGGAACACGGCCGGGCTCACCATGTCATGGTCCAGGTTTAGCAGGTTGTCATGCACCACCAGAGACTTGAGGTAGGCGCTGCTGGCCGCCAGCACGTTCTTGTGCGCGCGGAAGAGGGCGTTCTGCACCACGATGATCACATCGCACAAGAAGCCCTTGGTGCGCTGATTGTTGAGCTGCAGCAGTAGCTGCCTCGAATGGCCAGGCGCCTCCATCGTGTCCAGCATCGTCTGCCCAGCACACTCTCCTGCGGGAGACACACACCAGCTGGATAAGAGCTACGCAGTGCAGTGCCCAGGACTCTTGTACCCAACCCAGTCGGTTCCCCTCCGCTTCCCCTTCCCCTCAGCTGAGCAGGGGCATGGAGCACCAAGGCCTGAACAGTAGCCGAGGAGGATCAGCGGCCTCCGGGAGTGGAAGCCTAGGCCCGCCGGCCCCAGACAGAAGGAGCAGGAGGAGAAAGGCTGTGGATGGAGAGGAGGCCAGGTTAGCCTATTAGTCCCAGCCCCAGATGCTCCAGGGCACTCGAGCTGGGTCCTGGGAACTTCCAGGTAGAAATCTGTTAGGGCGAAATGACCCTTTCGGAGACAATTACCCGATTTAAGTAAAATGTCCGCTTCAGGAAAAGTCATTCAAGGGCCGAGAAGTTTGCCCAAGTGGGGAGAAAAGGAGCCGAGTTAGAAGCACCTCCCGCCTCGAGAGAAGTCGCCCCGGTTAGGGGAAGTGATA